ATTTTGATATTGTGGGGTACAGTTAAGGGTTAGGTATACAAATATGCTTTGTTCAGGCACCCTTGTTGATAAGGGGTGTCTCCCCGTCCACAGACAGATATTGACTACTATTAATCCCACCTCCCTTCCCCTCCCTTCCCCCCTCCATAGTTTCCCACCACTGTCAATCCTTTTCTTATAGTATTACAATAGATGTTCGGGGTCCACTATATGAGTGAGAACATGTGATACTCAGATCTTTGTTGCTGTAAAAGATCACTCAGTATTTTAGACTCTAGTTCCATCCAGGTTGCTGCGAAATTCATGATTTTGTTCTTTTTTATGGCTGCATAGTATTCCATCATGCATATGTACCACATTTTTTTAATCCAATCCTCTTTTGATGGACAGCATGGTTGATTCCAGGTTCTTGCTATTGTGAACAATGCTGCGGTATCAGATCCTTCCAAATAGAAACAGAGACACTCCTAGGTCATCTGAAGTGATGATGCATGTAGTGAAGTGAGGAAAAACGAGATAGTTTCAGCGGTTAAAAAACTGGGTCTGTAGCCGGGCATGGTAGCGTGCGCCTGTAGTTCCAGCAACTTGGAAGGCTGGCCACTGCACTCCAGTCTGGGTGACAGAGTGAGACTCCAACTCAAAAAAAAAAAGCTGGGTCTGGCCAGGCGCAGTGGCTCAAGTCTGTAATCCCAGCACTTTGGGAGGCAGAGGCGAAAAGATTGCCTGAGCCCAGGGGTTCAAGATCAGCCTGAGCAACATGGTGAGACCTCGTCTCTACAATAAATAAAAAAATTAGCTGGGTGTGGTGGCCCATGCCTGTGGTTCTAGCTACTTGGAAGGCTGAGGTGGAAGGATCACCTGAGCCCAGCAGGTTGAGGCTGCGGTGGCCATGAGTGTGCCACTGCTCTCCAGCCTGGGTGACAGAGTGAAACTCTGACTCAATAAAAAGAATATTTGGGAAGCTATATTCAGGAAACACTTGGAAATATGCCTGGAGTTGAGGAGGAAAGCTGGACCGGCAGCCACAAGTGAAAAGTGGATGATATCACCAGCACCTGGTTATCTAAACCAGCTATGAGGGAGGAGATTCTAAATTACTCCCTTCCCTTTCCCTTCAAAGCCCAGTCATCATCTCCTGCCAACTTTATGACCTAAATATATTTTAATTTCATTCCCTCTTCTCTATCACCATTGATACTCTCCTGGCTTCGTTTATTCATGCCGTGCAGTAGTTTTCTTATCTTCATTCTCATTTTTCTCTAACTCCTCCTCTACACAAATTCATTGATTTGGAAAAATAAATTTGCTCATGTTTCAAATCATTTTGTGTCTCCCCTTTGGCTGGAGGATGCAGTTAGGCTCTTTGCCTCTTTTTCATCTTTATCCCTGCAGCATCATCTGCCACATCTCACCCTTCAGTCCTCTGTGCTGACCAATGCATTGTTCCATACTCATACATACCTTGTAAGGACCGTGGAGCCAGGCACTCCCCTACCTTGCCTTTCTTCCCTAATCAACTCTTATTCAGTCTTTTTTTTGTGTGAGTCAGAGTCTCACTCTGTCGCCCAGACTGGAGTTCAGTGGTTCGCTCATGGCTACCCCAGCATTGACCCGATGGGCTTGGGCAGTCCTTCTGCCTCAGCCTTCCAAGTAGCAGGAACTACAGGTGCATGCTCCCATGCCCGGGAAAAACATTTTTTTTTTTTTTTTTGAGTTGGAGTCTCACTCTGTCG